TATGTGTTAGATTTCCGTTTATTTTTTATTAACTTTCACATTTTTTTGTATGATGGATTTCCTCATGAAAAATGTTACATTATCAATGTAGTGTACAACTAGGTTGACAACACAAGTAAAATATTTATTTATGTATTTTTTTATTTTTGAATGTTTTCACTGCATTGTCAACTTAGTTGTATACTAGGTTGACAATGTAGCATTACTCTTTCCTCATTATATGACTCGGACCATTTCCAATGGCTACACAATTATGATATATATTATAGAAAAAATTATTGTGTGATGTATTCTAGCGGTTAGGTGAGTCAATTCGTTATATAATATGATAAAAGATATATATTTATACTATCAAATGTTATACTTATGTTTTTATGTTTTTTTTTCAGCATGATATTTATTAATGAAAGTATGCATGTTCGTGAGGAAAATATGTCAATCCAACGATTAGGTCGGCTTTACAAAAGACCCACCGATTATGAACAAAATCACATGTTGAGTTGGTGACCTCAAAATGTATAATTATCGAAAAATTTATGGAGCTAGCAGATGACTCATTTATGAAGTCGTCCATAACTTGAGGCACTAACACTTGTCCAAAGTATATTTATTACAAAATATATGTCAATACACTATTTGTGAATAAATTGTGAATGGTTTAATAAATCGTGTCATCTGATAACTTATAAGATTGCCTTATTACAAACAACGAAAATATGTAATAATATTCTCTTTATTACTTTAATATCATATATTTCATCTTTTACCGATAAATTTATTGTCGTATATGAACGGCTTAAATAAAATTTTGGAGCGTAGCGCGATTTTGGCAAAGTACTATTAATTATACTTGACTTCGTCGACTAATTCTCATCTATAATACCACAACTAATTATTGACTTTCAAGTAAATAGAATTTATTTCCTCGAATAAGAATTTCATGCAAATCAAAACTCAAACGGCTTTTACATCTATTTGCAAAGCTTGTAGTCTTCAAACCCAAATTCAAAAACATTATATTTCAATATTTCTTTAAAAGATAACATATATATATTATTGCCAAAAATGAGAAGATAATTTATCTTTGCTAATCATAAAATTTTCATTACAATATGACATCTCATTGATAAAAGACTAGTACGTACACGGGTCTGAGTTTTCAGATGGCCTGTCCATTAGGTTTAAAAAATTAGAGTTAGATCATCTATTTTACACCTATTTTGATCATCGTTATTTTTTTAGTCATAACGTTAAACCTCAACCTATTAGCTCTAGTATGTAAATTAATTATAAGCTCTAGTATGTAAATTAATTAATATATTATCTCGCTAAGATATTGATATTAATATAAATTTGATTTTAGTATATATATTTATTCTTTAATATAAAAAATAATAGTTTTACATATTCTGGTATAATACTTAATTTATTATTTTATCATAAAATTTATTGTCATTATAATTTTTTAATAAATATTTTAGAAAATAAAAAAAATATTTATCTATTTACAAACTCATTATCTCGAGTTTGAAACCATAAATTTTATTCTTAAAATAAAATTTGGAAAATTTTAACTTGTAATCGGAGATGAATTTGAATTGATTTGAAATTCCTAATCCATCTCAAATTTATTGTGTGAAAAAAGGCTATCCAAAATTTTTATACCAAGAGTCCTAATATTTTTAAATTGTAAAAAGTCTTCATGCAAAATATCTCCACTGACTTTGGCGGACCACAATAACGTATTTGATTCAACAAATTAATTAATTTTAGGAAGTGAATTGTTGTGTATGTATATGGAAGAAATTTGAAAATTCAAATTCCAAAACCAATACCACAATATCGTATTTGATTCAACAAATTAATAAATTTTTAAGAAGTGAATAGTTGCGTATGTATATGGAAGAAATTTGAAAATTCAAATTCCAAAACCAATATCGTATGTAATGAGTTTATACCAAGTTCCCAATTTTTTCAAAATTGTATAAATCCTTCATGCAAGGAATCTTCATTAATTTGGGTACCAACAAATTACTTAAATTTAGGAAGACATAAATTGTGTAGGTGGATACTATTTCTGTTGTATGTTTAAAGAAAATAAATTTAAAAATCTATACTTATATTAAAAGGTATACCATTTACTAAGTTTAGTATAAAGAAAAGTCAACAACATTTATTGCATTACTATCTTCGTATTATACAATCTATACTTATATAAAAGGAGATTCTATTTACTACATTTACTATCCAGAAAAGTCAACTGCATTAAATGCCATTACTATTTTGGTATTATAATATTTTATTTATTTGATTGATTTATTTATTTGTTTTATTTTAAAAAGGTAAGTATAATAAAAAAATTTTAATAATAAAAAAATCAAATACCAAATAAAAATGTACACTTTGACTTATTTGATTATATTTGGTATTTGATTATACCAAATATATTTCTATTTAGTATATAAATTAAATACTTACTAAAGTATTTATTTGTTTTATTTGTCAAAGTTAAGTATAGATTTGTTTATATTATCAAATCATAAAAAAATATTAAATCAATATTGTAAAAAAAAAAAATCATATAATTTTATAACAATTCTACTATACTATTTAACAATATCTTTTTTATTATATAATAAAATAATAATTAAATATTATATGGTGAACAATAATAAGTACAACTGTTACTTTCTCTTATATCAAGGGATAAATTTATATGCTAAAATTAAATTTTTATTAGCATAAATGTTCTAGTGAGATAATATATTAATTATTTTACAAGCTACCCTAACGTGCTCATATTTAATGTTTTAAAAGATGTAGAAAAAAAAACTTATAATAACTATATTGTTTTTTAGACTTAAACATTGATTAAAAGAGATAAAATTTCCTAATTTTTTAGACTTAAACGTCGATTAACTCCATAGATTGAGAGTTTATATTTAGTAAAATTCCTAATTGTAATAAAAAAATTAATTTTTGCTATATTTTAGAATATCTTTAAATTCATTATAAAAAAAAGATAAAAAAACTATAATGAAAAAGCAAGTCAGCTATATATCGATTTCTTGTACTCCTCAAATCACATTCATAATTTGACTACAAGGAAAGGAAACTAATTGATTAAAATATTATTTTGTCAGTAGTCTTAATGTACAAGAGACTTTAAGACTCTACTTGAATATTATAAATTTTTTATTGAACATTGTACAATTTTCTTGCGTATTATAAACTTTTATTGAATATTGCATCCTATAATATAATATTCTTCAAATAAATATATATCGTGCTTCGCACGGGTCACGTACTATATATATCCCGTATATTTTTCTTTATTCATGTATATAATTATAAGCCTGGATAAATAGTCTTAAAATTGTGTCTCGTGCGTCGCACGGGCTCTGTACTAGTGGTATTGATATGAGATTGTATTATGAGGGATTTAACAAAAATACAAATTTTTAGAATACGATTTGATTTGAATTTTTCAAATTAAATTCCACTTTTTTAGGCCGCCTAAGTCAAATGATGATAAGGATTAATGTTAAAAATAAAAGAAAAAAAATCCAAAAATAGTAAGTAATTAATGTTATCCTAAAATTTCTAGTTACTATTTATGGTAAATAGTAATTTTTATTATATATATGTAGATTTAAATTTGTTAAAAAACTATGTTCATATGACCATCATGCTTCTGTAACATCAATCTCAGTGATCTCGTGCTTGTGTTGGTAACTCTATGAAAAACCAAAAGGCCAAATAAAATTGTCTTTAGTTTATCACATTACATTATTACAATTTATTAGTCGATAACCTCATTACAAATATCGGAACAATGTAATAATATTATAATAAATTACTTAATATTATTTATTTTATTTATACCGATAAACTCGTTTTTCGGTATGAACGACTTAAGTAAAATTTGGAGCGTAGTGCAGTTAATGCAAAATACTTTTAATTACATTTGGCTTTCTCGACTAAATCTCATCGATAACGTTCCAAAAAATCTTTGACTTTCAGTGACCGCAAAATTTTGTTTCCCGAATAAGATTTTCAGAATCAAACAATTCAAAACTCAAATGTTTTATTAGGTATATTCGCATCCAGAGCGTGTAGTCTTCGAATTTCAAATTCAAGAAAAATATATTTCAAAATTTACTTGAAAGCTTATATTTTCTTCTTCCCAAAAAAGAAAGAAAATATATATTTGTTAATCATAAAAATTCTATTTTTCAACTCAATAATATAACAAAAAAAGTGGCTTACACAAAATTTCTACCCACCCTTCCTTTCAAGACAAGTTTATTCAAGATGCCTTTTGACAAAAAATCACAATATTGGATATAAAAAGGCCCTTGCATTGGTGAAAAAAAACCTTCCAATCCACTTTTCCTCTTGCAAAGTTTCCTAAAACATACCATTAAATATTGTTCCTTTCTTACTGAATACCAAAACTACCCCTACATGAGTAATTACAAAAAATTTATAATTAAAGCCAACCTATATCCACACCCACATCCCCATCAATGAAAGTGGGTGGAGTCTGTGGACTAGTGTGCCCCTATATTTCTTAAAGAAATTCACAAAATAAAAAATAAATGAGTAATGGATTAATTAATAGTAAAAAAAAAAGAGAGATTAAACAAAAATTAGATGGTGGTTCACATTTTATATATAAATATAAGTATATATCCATAAAAAATTTACATTACAAAATAAATATACTTTGGAAAATAACGAAAATGGAAGATTGACATTTGATTACACAAATATATATTTTTACTAAAATTTTTGATGAATCGGTATAAAATATTATACGAAACCACAATGAAAGAATAACATTTTATCATGTAAATATGTATTTTTATTAAATTATATAATGAATTAATTTGTGTGAGGATTAAACTGCTCTATACAAAGTTTGCATATTGAAAAAGAAAAAAATAAAAAACAAAAGAACAAAATATAATTATATAAACCTCACTTATTTTTTCTTCTTTCACCTTTCACTCTCCTTTTTCCATTCCTTCACCTGTAAAACCCCTTTGGTTTCTCTTTCTCTTTACTCTCTCTATAAGAGAAATCCAAACAGCTTTCTCTCTCTCAACACCCACATTCATTCATTATTTGCTTCATCGCATGAAAAAATCACGAGATCCCCACTAATTTCTATCTTCCCCTATTCAGAAAGACTCCTCCTTTATCTCTCCGCCCTCCGCCATCGTTGCTGCTTGTGCTGCCCCTGTTTGCATTGCCGAGAAATTGCACCTCCTTGACCAATTTCAAAGAGGCTCGTCTTGTATATATACGTGTAATGGTAAAGGGGAAAGAGAGAGAAGGTAAGTTGGGGGATTGTGCGGTGTGAACGGAAAAAATGTCGTCACAGTCGGGGAGGAATAAACAGGATTTGGGGCTGGCGTCGCTGTCGGATCGGCTGAGGAACGCCTTAGCCCGCGACGGAGAAGATAGCGGCGTGAATGCCGATAAACCGGACTTTCGGGAACTCGATCTGGGCTCGCCCGTCTCGCCGCTTCGGACCCGGACCGGCGGTGGCACCGCCGCGACCGCCACCACCACGAGCAGCAGCTCCAGCTCGTCGGAATCGGTCTCTGGCCGAAACTCGGGCGGGTACAACCCGAGTGCACTCAGAAAGTCCGATTCGCACCCGAACAGCCACTCGGGCGAACTCTCCGCCGAGAGCTCGCCGCCCGCGATCCGGAACCCTCGGCCGGGACACACCCGGTCTGACTCATCCGGGTCGTTTAAGCATGTGTACTCTGGGTCCGGATCCGGGTCCGTCTCCGTCACGTCCCCGCCCGTAAATCTTCTCCCTACCGGCAACATCTGCCCCTCGGGCCGGGTTTTGAAAACCGGCATGGCCAGCCGGTCCACGAAAACAGATGTCTTGGGCTCTGGCTCGTCCGTGAACTATGGCCATGGCAGCATAATGCGTGGTGGGCCCGCATCCAAACCGGGCCTCGACAGTGGGCCCACGCACTACCCGAGGGGCCCGATGGTTGGTGGGAGATCGGTGTTCTCTGGAGGCGGTGATCCGGAGGAGTTAAAGCGGCTGGGAAATGATTGTTACAAAAAGGGTAATTTTGCAGAAGCTCTGAGTCTTTATGACAAGGCTATTGCCATTTTACCGAGCAATGCTGCTTATCATTTTAATCGTTCGGCAGCCCTAATGGGGCTGAAGCGTTTGCCGGAGGCCGCCAGAGAATGTGAAGAAGCCATTAGATTGGACCCAAGCTATGTGAGAGCGCATCATAGATTGGGATCTCTGCTTCTCAGGTGAATTATTTTTCGGATAAAAGTTCAAATCTTTATGGAATTTTTGTGTACTAAATGTCAGTCTTGATTCATATGGTTCTTTTATTTGCTATCTCATCATAGCTGCAATGTAGGCATGTTTTGAGAATGTAGTGATTAATTATCTACACTTAGAGGCAATGTGGGTTGTTTAATGAGGTCTGATTTCAATTGGCTTGAAAATGTCGCGCGAGCAATTAATTGATCTACATTGGCTTGAACGTTTTCGCTTATCCTTTTTTCTGTTGCTAGATCTGGTTCAGGTTGGATTAGATGGACATCCTTTTTTTCAGACAGTTTGTTTCTTGTGTCTAAGTCGTTGTCATTAATTGCGGTATGGCCCTCGTTGCATACATGCGTTGTCATTGATGTTTAACCTGTTATGCTGTACTTTTGTTTGGCTCTCTGAGTTTGTGGTTCCACCTTGTTAGGTCCGTATTTTATGGAATTTGTCATTGTATTAGATTGAAATCATTTGAACTCAGTGAAATCGTTCCTGTTTATTTACATTTGATACGAGCGAATCCACTCAAACGATAATAAACTTCTTTACATTTTCATTCTTCACGACAAGTTGCTTCACACAGCATTATTAAACTTACCGTATTTTGGTTGATGAGTTCGTTACTTGAATCTCAGTGTTTGGTGTACATTCCTTTTGCCCATCACGGCTCTTTTTTTTTTCTTTTTTTTTTAATGCGTTTATTACTCAATAAACGCTTATAACCTGAAAATTTTACAGTTTAGGATATGCTGAGAATGCAAGGAAGCATATTTGCTTTCCTGGGCTTCCGCTGGACCCTACAGATATGCAAAAGCTTCAATGCATAGAGAAGCACCTGAGCAAATGTGCTGATGCTCGAAAAATTGGTGACTGGAAAAGCACATTGAGAGAAGTAGATGCCGCCATTGCCTCGGGAGCCGATGCTTCGTCTCATGTGTGTGTGTGTGTTTTTTTTTTTTTTTTTTTTTTTTTTTTNATTTTATTTTTAAATTATTATTTCTTTGCTATGAATCCAAAAGAAGTTACTCTCACACAATTTTAGCTCGAATTTACAGCTTTGGGCTTGTCGGGCAGAAGCTCTTTCGAAACTCCACCAAATAGACGAAGCTTTTTTGTCTCTGTCAAACATCCCCACATCCACTCAGTGTATGAGCTTCTATTCCCAGTCGCGGATATTTGGTATGCTTCTAGAAGCTTACGTGTATGTCGTCAGGGCCCAGGTCGAGTTAGCCTTGGGAAGGTGATTTCTTTATTTATTTATTTATTTTTTTTAAAATAACCAAAAGACTCTCGATCTCCAAATGAATATGAAGAATTTCGGTTGCAGGTTTGATAGTGCTCTTTCGGCAATTGAGAAAGCTGGCGAGATTGACCATCGTAATGTTGAAATCTCGATTTTGCTTAACAATGTGAGATTGGTGGGCCGTGCGCGTGCCCGTGGGAATGATTTGTTCAAATCCGAGAGGTTTACCGAAGCTTGCTCGGCTTATGGAGAAGGCCTCAGATTAGACCCCACAAACTCTGTTCTGTACTGCAATCGAGCTGCGTGTTGGTTTAAGCTTGGCCAGTGGGAACGCTCAGTCGATGACTGTAATCAAGCCCTTCGTATTCAGCCGAGTTACACGAAAGCTTTGCTAAGAAGGGCTGCTTCTAACTTCAAGGTACTTTTCCATTTGAAAATTTTGAGAAGATAATCGTAATTTTGAAACGATTAAGGTTAAAAAACTAAATTCAATATTCTCGAACAATTGCGCTTTGCTATGTTAGCTCGAAAGATGGAGTGAAGCTGTGAGAGATTACGAGGTTTTGAGGAGGGAACTTCCGGATAACAAAGAAGTTGCCGAATCGCTTTTTCATGCACAAGTCGCTTTGAAGAAATCGCGCGGAGAGGAAATATATAACATGAAATTTGGTGGTGAAGTCGAGTCTGTCTCGAGCCTCGAGCAGTTTCGGGCCGCGATTTCTTCACCTGGTATTCAATCCACACTCAAAATTTAACTCAACCTCGCTGTCATCAATATTATCAATATAATTAAATAATATCAGCCAGTCATTCTTGCACCTTACATCAGCTTTAATTTATTATTTAACCAACCATCATTTCATATCATCTCTCTTATAATACTTTTACATTAAATCAACTTTAATTATTTTATTTTAATATTAAATCTAAATCTCACTAACGACGAACCATACCATATTTTCCGAAATTAACTCTGGTTAACAAAAAAAGTAAAAAAAAAAATCGTTTTGAGCGGATATGTTTGTTTCCAAGCACGCCCTTTGTAGTCTGATTCATTCGTGCCTTGTTTTTTTTATGGTGGTTCGATTTTAATGATCTTCGAAATTGTGAAACATTTTTCAGGTGTATCTGTGGTACACTTCAAAACGGACTTGAGTGTAGAGTGCGGAGAAATATCCCCGTTTCTGGACATTCTTTGCACCCGATATCCATCTATTAACTTTCTCAAGGTAAATTAAAATGTTTACTTTCTCTTTGGTTTTTCTAATCGTAAGTGAAAAATGCTGGCCCTATTATATACATATTTATCTGACTTTTTTCGTTCTTTGTACAATAATTTCATCGAAGGTGGATATCGAAGAAAGTACTGCAATAGCTCATGCCGAGAATGTTAGAATAGTACCAACTTTCAAGATTTACAGAAAAGGCATTCGAGTTAGGGAAATCATTTGTCCTTCTCCAGAGGTTTTGGAGTCTTCTGTGAAGCATTATAGCTATTAAGAAGACCTTTTTATGATCGGTACAACTTATTATGCCTCTAATTTCAAAACGCCCCACATAATATATTCATCCTCTACTCGGTTTAGAGGGCCAATTTTACCAAATGCCAGTGCATTCAAGAAAGATATAGCTATTATAGTAGTACCCTTTTCTTATCTAGTTCTATTTTTCCTTTATTTTCTAGCCGATACATTATTTGATCCGATTCCATCTTATTTGCTCGTTTTGTTTCATTCTCGTTAGTAACTATTTTGAACCTATTTTCTTGCCATTGCCCTCTAGAGAAAGTAGTGAGGAATTATGTAATATTAGTTGCCTTGATGATATGTTAGTTGAAATTTAGTGAACAAAAGGGGTTGCGAGAGAGAGAGAGGGAGAGAGAGAGAGAGAGAGGATCTGTAGAATGTATACAATAAAAACTGGAGGCCCCTATTGAAGGAAGAAACTGAGCTGGATTGTGTGGTGGATACTTAATTTGGGTTAAGAGTTGAGAAGGATGAAAATGGTGATGAGGTCATTGATATTGATGTTTTCTTTGCTCAATCATTGAGTCAATAAAATTTTTCATTTCCCCCTTTTTTTTTTTAATTTTTTTGTTTTATGTAATATCCTTGTAGACTTGTGGACAGTTCATCTTTATGTAAAANTTGATGTATTATGCTTCTCATTTCAAATGATTTTTGGGTTAATATTATTAGTATATTTGCTTTTTGTTTTTCTGTGGTGTGTTGTTGGAAGATTGAGTGTACTGGTATGGGTTATTGTTAATTTGGACCGTTGGATTATACTCACTCTGTTGATCTGTCGGTTCTGACTCTTGCTTCTGCTCTCTTTGTTAAGTATTGAGGGTTAATCACATGTAATTAAATAACATGTACATAGTTTTTCAACCCGGCCCGGTGATCGACTCGGGCAGGTCCTCGGGTCACCGGGTCACGGGTTCAACCGTCGGGTAACCGGGTCAATTGCTGAACCGGATAATTAATTTAAAATTTTTTAAAATTATATATAGAGTATTTTTGTTATATAAATATACATAAAAGTAACAAATTAAATGTTTTGTGTATAAAATTTGTATATTAAAGTGTTAATAATATATATTTCATGATAAATATTTCATTTTTTCACAATGACCCGGACGGGTCAATGCCCCGGGTCGGCCGGGTCTCTGCCGGGTCGGCTGGGTTTTGACCGGGTTTGACCGGGTCCTTGGTTGCCCAGTCCAAATACTCCACCCGGACCGGTTTCGGCTCTGGGTCGACCGGGTCCCGAGTCGACCCGCCGGGTCGGTCCAGGTCTCAAAACACTGAACATGTAAGCATTGAGGGGTTGGTTGGGTATAAATAAAATTGCTGTTGATTGAAGTTATTGTTTAAAATAATTTAATTTTAGATAAAACTGATTGAATAAAAGATTGACTTAGATTTTGAATATGTAATTAAATAATATTTAAAATATAATAATTAAAGTTGATGTAATATTTATTAAAAATGATAGATAGTTAAAAACATGCGAAAAAATGAATTATGAATTAAAATTGATTTGATATGAGTGATTAATTAATTGATATTATTTAGTTATATTAATGAAAGTATGATTGGTCGATATTATTTAAATTTGAGTTGTATTTTAAGTTAAGTAGTGTAACGAAATTGTCCCATCAATGAAAATTGATTAAATTTTTGTAGCCAATTATTTTGCTAACTTCCAAACAGTCCCCAGCAGCCCTTTAATTAAAAGAAAAAGCCGATATTGAGAGGGAACTGTACAGAAGAGGAAGTTATTTTAGTCGGTGGAAAATAAAAACAAATTGAAAATGAAATCTGCATTCAATTGTTTCTGCCCAAGGTTCTGACAAGTGACGTACGTTAATAATATACTTCCCTTGGATTCCCTTCTTACTAAGAAGTATTTAATTACTATTTTATGTTATAATAACTAAAACCATTGCATTGTAACAAATGATTAAAACCATTTGTTAGTGTTAACGAGAATCAAAAGGAACAATAGAAAATAATCATGTTCATACTAAGATGTTTGATAAGATCTAAAAATTAATTTGAGTTTGACTCGCTTATTAATATGAAAAATTATAAAATCAAGTTATATTGAAATAAACAAATGCAGACGGGACCAATATATATGGTTGCATATGACCGTTAAGTAAAATATAAATAAATAAGAAGTTCTCCCACTACAAAAGGGTAAATTGGTAACATGCTTACAAAAATTATAGCCGTTTCAAATGGATGTAGACATGTCTTCTCTAAGTATGGGTAAAATGTTGTGTAAGAAATTACTTAGGTGTGATTAGATAGAAATTTGATTGGTTTTTTACTAGCTTTTTTTAATTATAATTAATTTTAAAAAATATGATATGATTAGTTGTTGATGAGAATTTAAGTTTAAATTAAAAAATATTTAAAATAAAATAATTAAAATTATTTTGATATAAAAGAATAAGAAAAATGATTGAAATTTGTGGTTAGTTAAAATTATGTGAGTAAATGAATAATGAATTAAACGTGATGTGATATATAAGAATGATTAGTTGATATTATTTAATGTTATTGATAATATTGAAGACAGTGAAGTTGAGTTAAATTTAAGTTTTGATTAAATTTTTTTTACTGAGTTTATAACCAATTACTCACACCCTTATATAAAAACTTATATTTATCTTTTCACTAACTCATTTGTCTAATCCCATTATTATCTTTCAAAATTACAATGGCCATCCAACATATGTGTAAATTGACTGTTCAAACTTTATTATGAATAATGTCCATCCAGTTTCGTATTTTGGTTGTTTACCTGATTTCAGATCGAATATGTGTACAATTTGACAGAACAAACTTTAGTTTGAATAATTGTCACATCGATAGAGTTCGAATTTGTATTTTTTTTTTTTTTCAAACATGGGACAAAGATAAAATAATTACTATATATAAATGCAGATATTTTTGAGTTTATGTGTCAATTTTTAGTGATTCTTAATTTATGTGCCGATTTCTGGTGTAATCTTATATGCGAAATACTAGTGGACAATAATCCATACAGTTTTGGACTTTTATTCATGTTTATTAGAAATTGTATAATTATAATTTACTTGGTAAACTTATATTATAAATATATTTTAAAATTTAACAATTTTTTTATTGCTATGAATATTATATATGTGGCTATTTTAGTTTGATATCATATTCCACATATAAGACAAAAAAATATATCTATCTTATAATTAAATAAAAATAAAATTAATTTTTTTAAAAAATATTTATAAATTTAAAATAAAAATTTGTAAGCTTATTTATTTTTAAATATAATATTTTAAATCAATACCCGGGTAATCCATGGGTTTTGTACCACTATACCCATGTTACAACAGGACCCACAATTTATTAATGTGGTGATATCCACTGATTTGAGCGGATGATTTTCCTTTTATTAAAATTTTAAGATTATTATCCATATTCACCTATTATGCTCTCTTTGGGCTTGGTCGTAGTCTATACTATTGGACCTAATGCGTAAACCCAATCGTAGAAACGATAGAGAAATTTACATAGGGTACTAGACATTACAACATTATTGCACATTTACAACCTTTAAATTTTTATTTGCATATATATTAGAAGTTGTTTTGGATAGATAACTCCCCTAATTATATGGTCTCTCTCTTCTTCACGTCAGATCTAATGTGAACCAGATTTATTTCCTTCCACCCATATTACTTCCATATCAACATGTGCACAATCAAATTCATACACAAGATACCCATAGACCATTTAACACATATCTTTTACTTCCCAAGACTTATTTATATTTTTTCTATATTTCCTTCTTCGCAGCAGAACATGTATGTACATAGTATAAAATTTTTGTTCTCTTCTGCAAATCTCGAACATCATATTTCTTGTCTTGCTCATTTTCTTTCTGGAAGGCGGTGAAAACCTTGTATACTACTTCAACTCCAAGTAGGAAAATAATGAAAATTTCTTAGTTTCGCCTATAAAAGGGAGGCGCCTTTGGCTTTTATTCGTCAAACGAGAAAGCACAAAACAGGTATAACTCTCCTCTTCCTTTCTTTTTTCTCTTTCCTTCTGTTATTGCTGTTAGTGGTTTGGCTGAAATTCGAAACTTATCGCTGCCTTTTTATTTTTTCCTTGCTTTATGTTGTTGTGCTGCTGCATGTACGGCGAATTTTTTTGGCCGACTTATTCAAAAGGTTCTCATCAACTTCTACCTCCTATACTCCCTGTCCTTCACTTGTTTGATAAATTGTCCCAAAGGTCAACGTCTTTTTCTTCTATTTTTTTTTTCTTCTCTCCTTTTGCTACGTTTGAGCTACAACACCCCATTCGACACACATGTAAGGCTGTACGGGCCATTCGTATGAATGTCGGGGCTGCTAACGGGCTCTCTGAGCGTTTTTCGCAGTGTTCTAAAAGTCGCTAGGCGTCCGCTAGGCGCTCGACCAGTGCCTAGCGCCTAGAGCGCCTAGTCGGGGCCTAGGCGGCGCCCAGAAATCAATAGTAAATACCTTATTTTTTATTTATTTTAACTACCTACAAAATAAAATTATCTCAACATATAATAAATTCACACACCAAAGTCCAAATAATAATATTAATATATATTAAAGAAAACATGAGAACAAAATAATGTAATTAGTATTTACAAAAATAAAATTAAAAAAAAAATTGAAAAATGGCCGCCGAGCCCGCCTAGGAGCGCCTAGGTCCGCCTACGCCCGCCTAGACGCCGCCTAACCGCCTGGCCGCCGAGCCCGCCAAGGCCGCCTAGGAGCGCCTAAAGCCGCCTAAGCGCTGCCTAGCCGCCTGACCGATTTTTTCTGCCGATTTGTACAAATCGGAGGCGCCCGGGCACCGCCTAGCGCCTAGGCGCCGCCTAGGCGGCCGCCTAGGCTGATTTTTAGAACAGTGGTTTTTCGGCGTCCTACGGGGTTGTTCTGGATACTCAGGCTGCTAGTACGCTGTCCGGGACGCTCATATGGCTGTTTGGGAGTTGTCATGGCTGAAACGGGGCTGTCTAAGAGCTGTTCGAGCTGAAACAAAGCTGTTTGGGAGCTTCCTGGGCTGAAATGAGGCTCTCTTGCCGCTGTCCGGGCTGAAACGAAGCTCTCCGACCGCTGTTCTGCTGCCTACGAGGTTGCTTGGTCATTTGTCTTCCGGTGCAACGAAGCTCTCCGGCTCTTAATTTGGGTTCTGAAATCAGAAACGATTGAACATCGAGAGTATATTTTATGTATATATTTGTCTCGATCTGTCATTGGCTTGAATTCGAAAAATCTCGAGTGTATATCTTATGTATATTTTATGTATATGTGAGTTTTGAAATCGATTTTTGAGGAAAGATTGAAACTCTAGTGTATATTTAAAGTATATTTTATGTATATGTGTGTCCCGATATATTAGCTTGAATTACGAGATTCTCGAGTGTATATTTTATGCATATTTTATGTGTATACTTTTAAAAGTATATAATCTGCAAAAGAAAATTTCTATGAAACTGAATACAATATACTTTTAACATATACAATATGTATAATATGTATATGATCTGTATATAATACGGAACACATACCGAAAATTCAAACTATTATTTATAGCGAATTTTATATTAGTATGTATATGATCTGTATATAACACGGAACACATACATAACATATATCTAGAACATATACCAAAAACTGAATACAGTATACTTTAAACATATACAATATGTATAATATATAAATTCAAACTATTATTTATAGTGAATATTATATTATTATGTATATGATTTGTCGTCTTTATATTCTGATCGCGTATATTATATTATTTATATGTTCGGTCGGTGCTTATAGCAGATAGAAGAGTTATGTTGTGATCGTGTATATACTGTATATTTCTTGTTCGTCTTTTTACTGTATTTTGAGAGAGGAAGTACGTTTGATTTTCAAATTATACTCTATGTTGATAAGAACAAATTCCTAATAAATAGTTCATATCCACTCACCTTTTTCATTTCCAGTGGATTCCTGTAGGTCATGATTGTAGGAAGGTGCGTGATTGTAGGAAGGTGCCTTTGATAACGGAAGTTTTTATTTCAACACCAAACAAAAGCAGTTTCATTTTGGTGTGCATGTTAATAAAATATCACATCTCGTATATAAGCAGTATTTTAATATTCTTGTGGTAACTATAAAATTTCGCCGAAAGGATATCATCGGATTCGTCACAAGTTTCCAAGTAATTGGACTTTCAATGGAAAATCAACATGGATTTACCACCCATTTAGGTCAATTTGTTTTACTTGCAAATTACTACTAGATTTTATGTATATGCATAGATACAAATAAACTAAAAATCATATATGTTTATGTATATAATATTGAAAATTATAAGTTAGAAAATAAACAAATTATGGCTACGCCTCACAAATAGCTTGGTTCAAATATAGATTTCACGGCCAACGGTCTAGGGTAACAAAAACAAAAAAACAAAAAAACAAAAAAAATTATGGCCACGCCCCACAAATAGTTCGGTTCAAATATAGATTTCACGGCCAACAGTCTAGGGTTAAAAAACAAATTATGGCTACGCCCCACAAATATATATACCTTTCAAATTATATTATCATACTCTAGAAAATCAACATAATTAATAATATGACATTTCATCATATAAATATTCATTTTTATTAAACAAAATATATATGTGACAGCTCGACCCGCCTAATGATGAGACCCACTCACACAAACCTTGCGATTACACACACGAGAAGCCCAATAATAATAATAATAATAATAATAATAATTTACTGGTCGGAGAAAATATCCTGGAGAATAGAAATGCACTGAGGGTGCGGGTCCTTTGTCATAAACCCGATCGGGTTAGCGAACCGGACGTCCGAGTGGATTCCGATGTTCTCAGTCAGCACAACTAGGGAAAGTTGCACGTCAGTCAAGGGCTCGCTGCACTCGGGCTTCGGGCTTCTGAGGGCCGTTACGTAGCACGAGTCATTCTCGTGATCCCCACTCACCTTGAGGCGGTACTTCCCGTTGCCATCTGTCACACCCTCCACGCTGTATGTGACTGCTTTTGTGTCCAAGTTCACGCACTCCAGCTTCACGGCGGCCCCTAATCATAATTACAAATATAATTAGTAGCAATTTCAATCCCTCAATGTAAATAGTCCTAAACTATTAATTTACCTAATTTTTTTTTTAAGAATTATTCCCTAACTTATTATGAGTAACGAGTATTGAGATTAGTTTAACTATACTCTCCCAAATGACAATGAAGCGCAGCTTGTTGGTAAGACGTTTCACCTATGACCGATATGTCATGGATTTGAGTCACGAAGAAAGAAAGTGGAAAAACTATTGATCTTCCTTAATTTGAAAAGAAACTATATCATCCCAGTGAATCAATATACTTTTATATTCAAATATCATGTTTTAAAATATAATGTAAACTAGAATATAACATTTCATAGTATAAGTATATATACTTTTATAATAAGTATATGACCATTTAATGATTAAACATCCCAATAAAAGAATTTGAGAGCGATCCGAGTATAGTCTTAATTAGGAATCCAATTAAAGATTCGTCTCTTGTGTGTGCCAAACATGGGATCTGAAGACTGAGGTCACTTCTTATCTATTTCAGCCGTAGCGCTTGTTCGTAACTTCGCAGAATAGATGAATTGATTTCCGGTTCATTTCGCCATCCCAACTAGTGAATCAGTAAGATTCAGTTGTTCAATAAAATCTTTTGTATTCACAGGTTTCATCGTTCCCACCACTCCGTACTTAATGGTTAGGCCAGAATTATACAACGGAGCTCATAATCCAATTTATTCTTGAGTCAACCTTCTTAGTCTTTATTGGCTCGAAGCTCTTGATTTTTTTCTGCTATTACGTGGATTCATTTACTATATTCATTATGGATGAATCAATTAGTATTGATGCTTTATTACACTGTCTTTTATCAGATGACTCATAGACCTTACATATTGGAATTCTATATCATTGATATTTTTTTCTATCTTTCTCTCATCCTTCCATTTATCCACACCCTATTCGGTTCTGTATTTTGCTTTAAACTTCGAATGAAAGTAAATTCAAAACAATTTCAGTTGTTACAAGGATATGACCTATTTAGTTTAGCATATCTTGACTGCTTCTTTAGATTTAGATAATACGAAGTGATGAGTTGGTTTTCAGACAGACTACCGGGCTGGTCTTTTTTAATCCTATAAATAACAAAAACCAACGAGTCACACACTAAGCATAGCAATTCTATCAAAAGGTCAATCAAATTTTTATTTTATCCTATAAGAATTAAGAAAGCATTAAGAATTAGTTTGATTGGTCAGAAAACGAATTCCAGATGAGACAAGACGGCATTGGTTATCTGTTACTGGATACACGGATGAGGGGACCGTAAGGCTGTCGCGGGGGCAAGATACAATGAAAACCCGTAACTTACTTCAACAGACAAAACCGACCTGCATAGGAAGGTAGCGAAGCGGAGCTCTAGCACGGATACGTCGGCTGCTCCAGAACGCAGACCCAAGGGGTGATCAGCAAAGCCTTTTATTTCGAATTCAATCATTCTGAGGGAAGTGCTATTCAATTGACCATGAGGCTTCATGTAATTAACCTTTCCTTACCGCCGGAAGGTTTTCTAAAAGAGATGTGAATCCTCAACCAATTTGAGATAATTTTATGACAATTTTGGTTGAAAATATGAATAGTCAAAGAGCAAGCACGATACACAGGTGGGCATGACATGTCAATTTCGACCATAACTTCCATGCGATACTCATATGCACGTGCGACATTACATCATTGGACGAAATTCGGATTTAAGATCAAAATGACCCTTAAATTGGTTAGTTTTCGAAGTACCCGATCGAGCTTTGAGTTTTCATCCAAAATTAACCTCAAATTGGTCAATTTCTTAAAAAACAACACGAATGCTATCGATTAATTGAACCCCAACAAGACTAATTTCAATACACACCATAATGCTATCGATTAATTGAACTCCAGCAAGACTAATTTCAATACACACCATAATTACCAGACTAATTCTGAAATTCCATCATACTAATATGTTGAAATATCACTTGTGAGTTGTGCCACATTAATTCTACAGAGTAAATGAGTCTAACTTATAAGCCTAATGGGTTACTCTTCCCATCACTAATTGGGTTTGAGATGGAACCTCAGTCCTAGGACCTGCAATGACTCTTTCTACCCGACATACTCTAGGCTTGGGCTCTATATTTCTATCCGGCCTGTTTTGGGCTTGGGCTGTTCTGGGCTTGGGCACTATATCTCTGTCCGGCCTGTTCTGGTTTGGGCTTACGAATGACTCACATGTGAGGGGTCTGTTGGAATATCATTTAGCTTATAAGTTTTGGTTTACCAATTGGTTTTGGGATGAAATCTCACTATGTTGCACCTAGGCTCACCCTCTTATAGTGTGCTTCACTTGGTCGGACCGCACTCTGTTCTAATATAATCAATACCCAGTAACCACGGGCATTTTTTTTTATTAAATATCTCTTTCACATTCAATCTATACTCAAAATCTAACTCAACTTTAACTCAACTCGACTATCTTTAATATTATCAATATAATGCAAATCAATCATTTTTACACATCATCTCTCCGTGGTATTCATCAACTCACATAATTTTAATTAACACTCACTTCACATCATCCTCTCTTATTTTTACATTAAATCAGTTTTTATTATTTTATTTTAAATATTATTTTAATATAAATTTAAAATTCCACTAACAATTAAACACACTACATTTTTCAAAATTAACACTGGTTAACTAAAAAAAAACTCATTTTGAGCGGATTTAGTTGTAAACAAGCTCGACTTAAGTTTTTGGTACCTGAAAGCTTGTCGCTAAGAGCATTTTGGAATTGGACTCGGCAAGGGTCACAGTAAACATCTCCCTCGACTGTGAATTCTTCGTGTTTGTGGCATTGGGCAATGGCGGCAAAGGTCAGGATGCAGAGGACTGAGATGAGACGAGCAGCCTTTGCCATTTTTTTTTAGATTATTCTTTTTATTTTTATTTTTTATTTTTTATTGTTGACTTCTCTTGTCTTGTGTGTGTGTTATGAAGAGCAATTTTGGCCTGAATTTATAAGGTAGAAGGAGGGTAAAAGGGGTGGTGAAGCGATTATTTCTGTATTTCATCCAAAGTTGTAACGTGTTTTGCTAATAATTGTGAGGTCTATAAGGTATTAGTTTATTTTATTTAATTTTATTTACTTACTGTATAATTTTATTTAATTTAAGTGCTATTCTCTGTGGTCAACAGAATTAACGGCCCCGGCTTTTACCTAAATAAATAGAGAAACTTTATCATAAATTAGGGAAATCGGTACATTTTTGTTAGGCCTACATTCTTTTGTCAAATATGATACTTTCAATAGAAAATGTTATGTTTTAAAAAATTATATATAAAAAAATTGTGACAGTATGATATTATAAATATGCATTTTTGTTCAAATAATATGACCGATGATGAATGTGGGTTGGACCATCATAATAAATTGACATGATGAATATAGTACGCATTTGCTTAATAATTATTACAAATCACTAGAGACACCATAAATGGATACAAAAAATTATAATTATGAATCACTATTTATGACTTAATGTAAACATATGCAGAAAATGATTGTACTTATCGTTGTCTATCATAGTTTTAATTAGTATTAATAAAATATTCGTGTAATATACGAGTTCTTAGTTGAAAAATCTATATTTAAATTTATGACTGAAATCTAAAGAAAAATATTTCTTCAATTTCTATTTTTTTTACATTTAAAATGACACTCTTTGTTCAGGACTTACCCGTGGTATACTAAAATAAATATTATGCACAATGTAACTATTTATTACCTAAAAAAAAGCTACTTTAACTTAACAAAAAATATTTCAAGGTTGAGTGTTGGAATTTTAATTTATTTTTTCAGCTAAGCTTTGTAAGAAATTACATGGTTGGAAAGACGGTCCTAGCCCAATATATGTAAATGAGAAATAAGAGAAATAAGAAGCAAGTAGAAGCCCATTTTAATAATCTAGCCCAGCCCAATTGACATGCATCGGCCCAATTTTGTTTCTGCTATATTGTATTAGTGTAATCATATTATTATTATATATTTTTCAAAACTATCTTAGTCATATTAATTATTAATGGCAATTTGGGCGGTTGAATGTCAATTGGCTGCATTTTTCAATAAAATTTGTGCTTCCATAATTTAGAATTGGAATACGTATTTGTGTCTTCAACACCCCGTGGTACTGCAAACAAACTACCATATTTCAAAATAATAAGCATTTTTTTATACAAAAAAAATTAAAACTTTGAACTTGAGTGTAAATTGTGTTTTACCAAATTCCAATCGTTTTTTAATTTATTTCAAGTTTATTGGTAATTGGGTGTCATTATGTTTATTGAAGATTATTCATTATTTTTTTTAGCTGAAAAATTCAAAGTATTGCACTAAATTTCAAAGCATGAACATTATATGATAAATAAACGATGATTCAATTAAAATTGTTACAACTGCATCAAAATTAACATAGAAATATGAAGCATCAACAATTAACACGTACTATTATGAAAAACTACGTTCTAATATTTAGTCTCGAAAAACTCTAAATATTACATAAGTTAATTTTTCAAGTATATAATGTTTTTAGTGATGGAGAACCAAGAAAAAACAAGTATAAAATGCACTAAAATACCACAAACAACATAATTTTAATGCAAAAGTGGAATATAACAATTTAACAACCCACCACACATAACTTCCATAACTGGCCAAATAAATACAGCTTCCATATTCTTATCAAAGAAAATTTTGGTACCCTAAACTTTATGATGTTGGAGTTTTATGATGAATTATTGAGCAAAAATGGTTAGGCTTGGAAAAGTAATCTGAAGGTGAAATACATAAATAATTGGAAAGTGGGGACTGATTAACAATTCTCACTAGTAATGACTCTCCTGTTGATTGTCTAATCAGTGAAAGCATTGTGTTGATTAAGGCTTTTTAACAAATTCTTTCTTGATTTTGCAGTAAGGGAAATTTGATGGGGACTTTTTAAATTAGTAATGCTATGTTAAGTTGTCTAATGGTTGGATAAACATATTTTTTCGAAAGTAAAGCTGGCTGATGTATGACATCATATATAATGTAAGCATACATATTTCTTATCAAAGTATAATTGTCGAACTGTTAGACAGTTTAGTAACAGAATTTATGTTAACGTGTAGCCCTTTATAAATGCATATTTCGAATAATATGTTTCGTACGCATACATATAAATATATGTGAATATATATGAAAGTGTGATCAAAAGGTAGAATCGAATCGAAAACTTTTGGTAACATGAAATAAATATGCATGAGGGTCATTTCATGCTAGTTACATTAGTATTTCAATTTTTTACTAAGCCTTTCTGTTATGAAAAATTAACTTATGTTTGAAATTGGAATAATAACTAAAATTCTATGCAAAGAGAAACCAAGAAAAAGTAGAAATGAAATAATATTCTCTACCTTGGTAGTTATTTTCTCTCACATTTATTATGAGAGGTTGATGTAGCCATTTATAGTGCAAATTCATTGTTCAATAATTTTAGAGGAATATTGTGGGCCTTCATTTCCCCATCTTTCATATTAAAAGAGTAAAGGAAAGTAATTAAGCATATGAAAGGCAAACTTTTTCCCTCAAATTCTGGTGATGTGTGTGCACAGATTTTTGAAAAAGAAATAAATAAACATTTAAAAGGTCATATATATAGATGTAAATATATATTGTGCTTCAAAACTTCAAATCCTAATATATATATTCTATATGTTACACTTGATATATGTTATCATTAGCCAAGTAAAATTTTTATTCATTAAAGTAAATTTTATCATATATATGAATCCACCGTCTTGCCCCTATTTTTTGCACGTAATAAACCATTTACTTACAAAATTGGTACCATTTTTAAATAGTTTATCTTCTATTAGTACCATTAATATATAGTAAAAAAAATATCACTTTACAAAATTAAATTACAAAATTCAAAATTACAAGTATATTAATTAGGTTAGAAATATCGGACAAAAAGTTGCAACTTTTCCTATTCACGTATCACACCAAAAGAATGAAATTGAAATTCGTATGAAATAACTGGCATTGGTCTGTCAAGTGATCTCAACCAAAAGTGTAGATTCTGTCGGTAATGTGCTGTATATTCATTCCATTCCTTGCATAGAAGCAATTTTGAGGCATATGACTAAGTTTTGGTGACATGATTTATATTTATATTTATGTAAATTTCAAGTGATAAATTTCTATGTTTGGTCGTGTTTATCATTGAATTGTGCACTCTTTAGTTTGATTTATTAATCTATGATAGATATATTTTTTATTGTTAATTTTTGTAAGAAATTTGCCCAAAAAATATTTACAAATTAAGTCGAAATGAAAAACATTGAAGTTTATATAGACAACATATCACACGACTCGTATGAGGTGGTAAATAAAACCACAAGAGTCGTGTGGCTAGGGGAAAAAAATAAATGACCTCGCTTACGGCCTTTTCACATGACTCGTATGATGTGTGACACTTAGTCACACTTGGACAACCAACGAATTGTTCAAGAAATGAGCCTCACGACTCATGTGGCTGTGACTATTATGTCACATGAGTCGTGTGACGAAGAGTCCTGTCCAGCAAACATGGACGGATTTACATTGGGGCTGGACTGGGATGAAGCCCAAACCTGTTATTTTTTATTTTTAATAACGATAAGTTAAAAAAAATTATTGTATTTCTAGCTCGACCCAATAAACCAATCCACTAACCCACCAAAATGATTCAATTATCTACTTAAGTCCAAAGACTACAAATACCACTTTAATAAAATATTATATATTGTTGATCCACTATTCCCACTAGGCACTAACCCAATCATATAAATCAGTCGCTGCCATGCCCCTCATCCAAACACGAGAACAATGAATTTAGAAGAACAAAAAAAAAAATAAAAAAATTCAACAGGAAAGAGACTATTTTCAAGAAGTTGATTTAATTTCTTCTTTAATAGTAAGTTATATTTTTAAACCACTATTAGATATTTGTTTCATTTGTTTATTTGTCTTTATTTATCTTTTCATTTTAGTTAGGCTATTTTGGGTTTTAATAGTAGTTGTTAGGATCATTTGGGTGCAATATTTGTTTTGTTGATTTTGTATGAAGTAGTAATTGTGCTTTATTTTTTTTTCCATCTTTTATCCTCTAGTGTGGTTATTTGTATATCATATTTGGATTTAAAGTCATGATGTGTAAGCATTTCATTCTGTTACTAACTATGTCGTATGGAAAATCAATTTATTGGTACTGTGAAATTTTTAGAAATTCACATGGAGTACCAATCTTCATTGATATCACAGTTCTTTAAAAAACGGGATCGTCAAACTAGTAAAAGCACATCAAATAAGGTGCAAACCGAACATAATGAATTTTATTCTGTAAATTAAAGCTCATCGAGCACAACTTCAGTGAATATTTGAAGAAAAAATATTATGTGAACTTTATGAGTTTTCAAAATTCTAATCCAGTCTACTCTTAATTTTTAGATCTGTCCCTGCCAACAAGGAATAGATTACACACGATTTCTTTCCTTTTTTAACGGGGATTCAACCTACATTATAAAAGGTACTTGTGAAACTCGATTTTGGGGAATTTTGACACTTTTGGAGGCCGAGAAAAAACACAAGACGCACGAGGAATCTGGTTGAGTCAAGATTGAAGATCATGAACAACACGGCTACAATAGTTCTTCTTTCTTTTTTCTCTCTTTTTTTTTTCTTTATTGAACCCATGTATTAATTATTTTGAAATTTGAGAAAATGTTTAGTTGATAGACTTCTTTGGAATTATAGATTTTCGTATTTTATGAGTTATTTTATTTATCCATTCCGATTTACCTTTTGTTTGTTAATTTGTTGTGCTTATATTTATTGTG